GCATCCTGCCAAGGGTGTTCGGCATCTTGCGTACGGATGACAGCTGCGTATGACTTAATTTATTTTCTGGTGCTTTCACTTCCAGAGACAGTTGTAAGCACTGTGTAACTGCCTTGAGGATGCTCGACCATTTTAACACAACGTGGTGCGATCATCCCCCTTGCGCGGAGTGAGGGTTCTCCACCCCGCACAACATGATCTACTCGACCACCATTATGGTTACCGCCAAAAAAAAAAAAGAGGTGAAAAAAATCGGTAACCTGGTTGCCGAGTTCACGAAGTGAATTGGCTTGTTTTACAACGTCGTTGCCAAGCGACGAAAACCCAATCCCGATAGGCAAACACCGGGGGGGGGGGGGTGTACTCATAGTCGTGCATGCCGTAGTCGTTAGACCATTGACCTCGCATCCCTACAAAGCCGGGACGGAGCACGGAGGGTTCTCACCGGACCAGGCTCTCACATCACCAAGCGCGAAGCGCCGTGAGGTATTCGGCGAGTCGCATGAAGGATGCGCTCCATCCTGCCAAGGGTGTTCGGCATCTTGCGTACGGATGACAGCTGCGTATGACTTAATTTATTTTCTGGTGCTTTCACTTCCTGAGACAGTTTTCAGCACTGTGTAACTGGCTCGAGGGTGCTTGACCATTTTCACACAACGTGGTGCGATCACCCCCCTTGCGCGGAGTGAGGGTTCTTGACCCCGCACAACGACCACCATTATGGTTACCGCCAAAAAAAAAAAAGAGGTGAAAAAAATCGGTAACCTGGTTGCCGAGTTCACGAAGTGAATTGGCTTGTTGTACAACGTCGTTGCCAAGCGACGAAAACCCAATCCCGATGGCAAACACTGGCGGGGGGGGCGAGAGGGGAGGGGTCTAGATCTCGACCGGAGTACCGTGAGGTTGCGAGTCACCGCACAGGGGTGCGATCGATTGTCAAAGCGTAATTTCTCCACAACCGGAAGGGTGCGAGGGCCAAGTGATACTTCTCAGGAAAGCTCTCGACGAGATATTTCCAAAACCGCCGTTTTCGACAGTGGCAACCTCGTGGCTGTGGATAATTCACGCTTTGAAGATAGCTCGCACCCCTGTGCGCTGACTCGCAACCTTACGGTACGGTGTTTCGTCGAGAGATCCATGTTTATGGTTCTCGGCAGGCAGGTGTCGAGAGATCGAGGAGACTGGTTTCTGGTCTTTCTGGCTGGCTGGGCAGACGTCGAGATCAGAGGCCGACCTCTGATTTTCTGATTTCTCTGCAGATATAGTGCCAGTAGTTGTCTCGCCGGTTTCAGTTGGCCGGCCATAACTTTTGACTCGGGGGTCCAATGAAAAAGACAAAAACATTCCCATGACGGCCATGAGATCGCGCACAAGATGGGATTTTTGTTTTTTTTTGGTCGGTAAAAAGTATCCAATTGAAAATATCACTTTTCAGGTGAAAAAAAACGACAAGAAATAAAAGGAAGAAATATGTGACGATGGCCAAGTTGGGACTCATACCTCGAGGTCTAGACGGGGCAAAGAGTAACCATCAGATCACTCGGCCATGAAGACACTTAGAATTGTGCGGGAAGTATACTATTTTATAGAACGAGAGCGTACGAGCATTTCACCGTTTTTTTTCGAGAATCAGCGAAGCACACGTTGAGATATCTCATTTACACGATTATCTATGCTATTGAGGGTTAGCATGTTTTTTTCCAGAACACAGGGCTTCAATTTTTTTCGGCGCGTTGTCAAAAAGGTTCGGAAATGGAACCAAGGGCACAAAAAATACCGAAGGAGAGCTTCAAATACCTGCAATTTTTTTCGGAAGGTTCGCCGTAGTTGTCAAGATATGGAGAATTTAGTGAGGTGAAGTACCTTCGGTGGCGGGTGGTAATAGGGCCATAACTATTATCCAGAGCGAACCCCGTCATTATGAAAGGCTTAATCGAACGCTGCTAGCTAGAGCTTTCAAATGAATAATATTTGTTTTTCGCCCAATTAATATTTGACAACCCTTTTATATTTACCCCACCCCAAAAAATGTGACACAACCACTGGCACTGTAGATGTCGAAATCGGTGCCTCTGGTTACTTGGCAGCTGTCGAGATTAGCTGGATTTACGGCTCTCTGTGTACTTGCTCGCACGCAGTTACGATAGTTTTTTCTTTTCCTGCCTGCCTGCCTGCCTGCCTGCCTGCCTGCCTGCCTGCCTTTGGGGAAAGCGCGCGCAAGGTAGGCAAGAAACCCGGGGTAGAGCAGCTGGAGCCCGTGACACCGCTAGTGATATGCTATATATTGCTCGCACGAAGCTATGTTTGGGCTTGCGGTGAAAATCCTATCAGTCATTGAAGTATCGTTCTGTCCGACGACGCTCGGTAGAGCTTGCACGTGTGCAGTTCTTGGCTCGCACGAACCTGTTCGTCGGCGGCTTGCGGTGAAAATCCCATCAGTCGTCGTTCCGGCGGCGACTCCGGTAGCACTTGCACGTTGTGCAATTGTTTGCTCGTACGAAGCCTAGGCTTGCAGTGGAAATCGTATCACTCGTTGTGTCGTCCTATGACTTCGACTACGGTAGCACTTGCACGTGTGCAGCTCGCTTGTCTTCAGAACACGGAAGCCGGCTCGTTTGCTACTACCTGGGGCGTCGTTTCAACCAACAACGTGTTTTCTAGAGCAAAGAAGTACGGCAGCAGCTCTCGCCGGTCGTTGTGGCTCGCTCGTCTTATCGCCGATGAGCGACGCAGCGGCTGAACCCCGTCGCTCGGCCTCGCAGCCCCTTGTCTCCGTCACACTGAAGCAGGTCGCGTAGTTCTTGTAACCACCGTGTTGCTCGTGAGTATGACCAAGCAAGTCAAGATGTTCCGCCCACCCGCTCCCACAACACCACGTTTCCAAGAACGGACGGCAAGGCAACACCACCACCACCATGACGGAACGACAGGCGAGAGGGGGGGGGTCTAGCTTCTAGACCGGTGTACGGTGTTTCTTTATGGGTCTCGGCAGGTGTCGAGAGATAGAGGAGGCTGATTTCTGGTTTTGCTGGGCAAACGTCGAGATCAGCGGCCGACCTCTGATTTTCTGATTTCTGTGCAGATAGATGTCGAAATCAGTACCCCTGGTTTCTTGGCAGCTGTCGAGATTTAGCTGGATTCCTTGGCAGGCAGACGGCTCTCTGTGTACTTGCTCGCACGCAGTTACGGTAGTTTTTTCTTTTCCTGCCTGCCTGCCTGCCTTTGGGGAAAGCGCGCGCAAGGTAGGCAAGAAAACTGGGGTTGAGAATACAGCATCGACGTGTTGGGGTAGCAACCTGGAATGTGCGGAATCTGGTTGGAAACGGGGCGAATATGTACGGGCGAGCCTACAGTATCTTGCACGAGGTAACGAAGCAAGACGTATCGGCGGTAGGGCTACAGGAGACCAGGAGGCCAGGTCACACGGAATTCGCGGCAGCGGTTCCCGAGTTGTTGTTGTTGTTGTTGTTGTTGTTGTTGTCTTCACATACATTCAAAACCGTTCCGATCTCTCTCTACCCAGTACCTTCGTATGTCCGTACTGATCCAACACTCGACGCGGTCGATTCCCGTGGTCACAGGTTAACTTACCCCAAAAAGGTACACTCAAAAAAACTGGCTCCGAGGGGTCCGCAAGTCAATAGAAATCAAAGACAGATATTCTGGAGTCCTCCACTCCCTCTGCGTGCTATGCGAGGTAACAACTGAGACTAGGAGTCACCATCACGGACCAGAGAGAAAGAGGTACACCCCCTTGGTCCAATCTTGGTACTTCACAACGCAAGCAGAGACAAGGCCATCTAGCACAGAAAAAAGAGAGAAAACAGAGAAAACAGAAGTAAAATAAACGGAAACAGTAAGGAAAGAGAAAATAAAATGAAAAGATCGAGGACAAAAAGGGACCAGGCCGAAAATAACAAGAAAAAAGAGACAGAAAACGGCACACGGTGGAGAGACCACTAACGAACAAGCAAACACGCAAACATGGCCACAAACCAGCGATACATTGGTACGTCATCACTAGTTGGGGGTTGGTACAATGGTGCAGCGTTGGGGGGGGGGGATTGGCTAAAAGAAATTCAAGCCGGCACGTATCGCGCCGCTCGGTCCGTCTCTTCTCGTTTGCTTTCTTCCCTCGCCGTCTCGTCCGTCTCCTGCCCCCCCTCCCGCCCCATTGGTTGTTGGCTTGTGGTTTCGTTTGAGCGCTCGTTGTCGGCTGGCCTGTTCATCCTTCTCGTGGCAGGAGGTCATGAACCTCTCAGCCCCCTGCAGCACGGCCGCATGCCAGGGTACTCCCCCGTCCACCTTCGCGGCTTCCGTCCACTATAACTTCGGTGCCGCGTCTTTCGGTACCGGGATTCCGAAACAACATGAATCGGTTTGCGTAGATCCGTGGTCAGCCCTGAATGCCTTCAGGTCGTCGAGCTCACACTTTGGCCAGTTCTGTTCCTGTCCCCCCCTACGTCGCTTCTCCCCCCCGCCAGTTCGCCGAGCATCAGCCGTTTCGGGAGTCGCCCGTCCGGCTGCCTTGCCAATGCTCCCGCGAACAGTAGGCGTCGTTGTCGGATTGTGGCTTCAGCGCTCTGGCATCCGATCCTCTTCAGCGTCTGGGCGTAAGAGAGCTGCCGGTAGGTGTCTTTCTTGCGCTCGTCCCCGATAACTCGAAGGAGCAGTCGGTGGTGTATCGACCGCAGCGTCTGATAGTGGCCGCTGAGTGGTGACCATGTCATGCGGCCGTACAGCAGTGCCCCCATCGCCTCCGCCTGGAGTAGGCGGATGTTGAGTCGGAATGGCGCTTTCGGTCTGTCGAAGAGCTCCCGGCCATATCGCCTGAGCCACGCCCACGCTCCTCTGCTCCTGTACTTGATCTCCCGGGTGAGGTCGCCATGTTCGTTGACCAGGCCACCGAGGTATCGGAACTCGGTAGTCTGGGCGTATTTCTGTCCCGCGGCTTCCATGGTCAGCGGTGGAGGCGGGGGGGGCTGTGATGTTGTAGTCGGCTTGTCCTTCGCGCGCATCAGGAGCGTCTCCGTCTTCTTCTCCGACACCGTTAGCCCGAACTCCCCGAACACCTCAACGATGATGGTCATCATTCTCGCCAGTCCTTCTGCAGACCTCGATACGACGCCGGCATCATCGGCATACAGCATCCCCCATACTGCCCTCCGTACTCGGTCAAGGGGTGTCTCCTCCCCCCCCCCCCGCTTCCGTCTTCCCCTCCTCCAAGCACACCAGGCCCCGCAAAACAACATCATCCTCGCTGACTCGGATGACAACGACCTGGTGGACCTCGGCGAAGAAGATGTTGAACAGCAGTGGGGATAGCACACATCCTTGTCGCACGCCCTGTGCGACGAAGAACCAGTCCGATAGTTCTCCGTCGTCCATGCGCACCCGGGCCCGCATTCCATCGTGGAATTGGCGGATGACTTTGATCAGCTTCGTGGGAATCCCGGCCCTGGCCAGCACTTTCCATAGCATCTCTCGGTCCACCGAATCATACGCCTTCTTTAAGTCGACGAAGCAAATGTAGAGCGGTATTTTCATCTCCGCCCCAGCTCCTGAAGGCGGCGCACGACGAACGGCATGTCGACGTGTTGCGCTGTGGTACGGAGAAGCGTCAAGTTCATGGTGTGGGATAGCCGTTTACGAGACAATGTGCAAGACCTCCACTTTCACGACGACCGTGAAGATTGAGATGATGGACATCCGCGGAGAGGTCAACTTCGTTGCTGCGTACGCCCGAATCGAGTTCTCCACTACCGACAGCAAGACAGAGTTCAGGAAAAAACTTGACAGTCTTGTGCGGAGGATTCCCTTCAAAGGGTATGTGGATATCACCCTGATGGACGCCAAATGCGCGGATGGGAGAGAGGATGGATGAGGAAGACGAGGGAGTCATGGGAATGCATGGGCGTGATGAACTGGACGAGAATGGCCGACTACTGCTGACCTTCGCGGCGGAATACAAGGTTTACAACTCGCAAACACGTTCTTCGCGACACGCAAGGGCGGAATATGGCACACTTACAACGGTGCGTTAGGGACCGACTGTAGGCGCCTCGACTACATTCTAACGGGGCAGGCACACCACGGCCGAGTGTCATCCCCCAGGCGGTAAACCCAGTCAAGGCGGACTCATACCAAAACATGGTGATAGCCACCGTCAACCTCGGTGGCAGGCTTGCCCACAACCGAACAGTCCAGACCAAACCGAAACAGAAGCAGTTCAAGCGACGGGAACAGCAAGTCGAAACAACGCGATGAGCGGTGACTGCGCGGTTCATCCTCAACCTCGACCAAAGGCAGGGCGAACGGATGACCACCAACCCGGAGAAGGCGACAGAGTTCACCAATGCACCCTTCTCGAAGCGGCGAGGGCGATACTACCCGAGGAACGCGGAAAAGATGCACGCAGGAATGGTGTAAGACCACTGAGACGACAGCAACGTTGGAAAAGGCCCTTACCAAGTGGCGGCAAGCGCGCCGAGCGATGAAGGGCAAGTGGTACGCAACAACGTGGAAGGCCCTCAAAGCAGCGTGTAAGGGAGTGGCCGCAGCAGTCGAAACGGGCATATATGCCCACCTGGATAGATGCGTGACGGAACTCGAAGCGATCTTCAAGGATCGCGATATGAGAGGCCTCCACCAACACTCCAAGAGATTAGTGGGGCTCAGTGGGAGACAAGCGGGAGGACAGCAGCCCGTTGCGGACGAGAATGGCGTGCTGCTCCGGGGAAATAACGACATCCTCCAGCGATGGACGACATTCTTCGGCACCCTCCTCAACACCAAGTCCCCCACCTGCACCCAGACATCAACCAACATGTGACGCAGCGACCGGCGATACATGCGACTAGAGGGTTGGGAGCGGTGCCAGACCTCGAGGAGGTGGAACGGGTAACGGAAGGACTACAGAATTGGAAGGCACCCAGCAATGACTTCCTCCTTGCCGAGTTGCTCAAGATCGACGATGATGACGAACCCACCGTCCTGGAGCACCTCCATGCCATCCTCGTTGACGTGTGGAACGGAGGAGAGACCCCCCAAGAGTGGAGAGACGCAACCATCAAGGTGTTGTACAAGGAGCGTGACCGATCCAACTGCAACAACTTCAGGGGGATCTCGCTGCTATATCACTTAGGGAAGGTCCCCGTCAAGATCATCACCAACCTCCTAAGCGCCTTTGCGAAACAAACAAAACCCTCCCAGAGGAACAGTGCGGGTTCCGACCTGGACAATCCGCCATCGACATGCTGTTCGTCGTGCGCCGACGCCAGGAGCTGGGGTGGAAAAGGAAAATACAACTGCACATGTGCTTCGTCGACGTGAAGAAGACGAATAATTCGGTGGACCGAGAGCTGCTGTGGAAGATACTGGCCACGGCCGAGACTCCCGCGGAGATGATCGCCGTCATCTGCCAATTTCACGACGGAATGGGAGCCCGGGTGCGCATGGACGACGGAGAGTTTTCGGACTGGTTCTGGGTCTCACAAGGCCAACGGCAAGGGTGTGTGCTGTCCTCACTGCTATCTTCTTCTCCGCGGTCATCGAGGTCGTTGTCATTCGATGCAGCGAGGATGATGTTGTTCTGCAGAACCTAGTGGCCTGGAGGAGGAGACGGGAGCGGGGGCGGGGACACCACTTGACCAAGTGCGGAGGGCGGTATAGGGGTTGCTGTATGCCGATGACTCTGATGTCGTATCGAAGTCTGCCGACGGACTGGCTAGAATGATGGTCGTCATCGTGAACGTGTTCGGGGAGTTCGGGGTGGCGGTATCGGAAAAGAAGATGGAGACGCTCGTGATGCGCGCAAAGGGGAAGCAGACATCACCACCGCTGCCCCCGCCGCCACCGCTAATCATCGAGGCAGCAGGGCAGAGGCACGCCTAGACGGCTGAATTCCGGTACCTAGGTGGCCCCGTCATCCAACATGGCGACCTCACCCGAGAGATCAATTAAAGGAGCAGAACGTGGGCATGCGTAAGGAGAAATGACCAGGAGCTCTTCGACAGGCCGAGAGCACCGGTCCGACTCGAGACTCGTCTGCTCCAGGCCGAGGTGACGGAGGCACTGCTGTACGGCTGCATGACATGGGCCGCACGTCGCGAGCACTACCGGCTGCTCCTGCGAATTATCGGATACCAACGCAAGAAAGGCACCTACCGGCAGCTTTCCTACGCCCAGACCCTGAAGAGGGTAGGGTGCCAGAGCGTGGAAGCCACTGTTCGGCAACGGCGCCTGCTGTTCGCGGGAGCGTTGGCAAGGCCGCCAGAAGGGCGACTCCCGAAACTGTCGATGCTTGGCGAGCTGGTGGGAAGGAGGGCGGGGCAGGCAGGGGGAAACCGGAGAAAAACTGCAGATGTGCCTGAAGGACGACCTCAAGATGTTCGAGGCAGGGCACGGATCTACGGACACCGAGACATGTTTCTTTGGAGTTCCGCACACAACTTGGGTGGAAGCAGCGAGAATATAGAATGGGGTGTGCCGTGGCAAACGGGGACCCTGCAGGGAACAAGAGGATATTGACCTTTTGGGACAAGGATGAAGAGGAGTCTAGCCGACAACAAGCGCTTAACCGAAACAACAAGCCCAGCAACAGCACTTACACGGCAACAACCGCTGGGGGAGGGGTGCAGCAGACGGACGAGACGGCGAGGGGAGACAGTAAACGCGAAGAGGAGGACCGAGTGGCGCGAAAAACTGTGCCGGGTTGAACCTTTTGATTGACTTATCCCCCCCCCGTCACTGCACAATTGCACTAACCCCCCACGAGCGATGCGTGCCTTTGCTGTCTCGGGTGGCCCGTTTTGTCTTGTTTTGATTGTTTGCTTGCCGCTACGGAGTCGATCTGGCGTGCGTCTTTCTCTGTGTCTTTCTCTTTCCCTTTTCTCCCTCGGCTCCCTTCTTTTTCTAATATTTTTCTTTCTTATTTCCAGTCTATGGTTACCTCGCATAGCGTGTAGAGGCGAGCGGAGTGCCCTGGACTACCTGCCGTTGTTTTCTATTGACTTGCGGACCCTTTCGGGTCCATTTTATTTTCGTTGATATTGTACCTATTGTGGGTAAGTTAGCCTCTGTGACCACGGGAATCGAACGCGTCGAGTGTTAGACTAGTACGGATAGAAGAAGGCACCTGCTGCGTAAAGATATTGGAACGGTTTTTAACGTGACCAACAACAAACAACAACAACAACAACAACAACAACAACAACAACAACAACAACAACAATACCAACAACCACAAGGTCGTTACCTGCCCTCAACCCCGACAAAAATGGAACAAATTTATCCTCCACTCACGGCCGTAGTGTGTGTGCTCAGCCAGCGATGTACAGCACTAGGCAAACGCATTCGTGTGCATGGAGAGGGGATGGGTGCGCAGGAGGAGGAGACAGCGGTGCTCCAGTGCCAGGTTTAGCGAACCATTTTCCGCGCTCTACGGCCGTGAGAAACTTTCCACGATAGTTCCTTGTGACACCGGGAGAACTCTGGTCCTCGGGTCGTTGTTCGTTTTCAGAACCATTTGGGCAGAACCTTTCTGCAGAACCTCTTTTGCCAGCGAACAAACGCCTCTTCCATATACTGCTGCGACGAATTCGTGTGCTGATTCAAAGCACAGCAGCCGCGTGGGAGAGGGTCACACACACCCACACCACACACAGCCACACAACTGCCCTCTCCATCCCTGTCTCGAGCCCCAACAAACCCTCAACAGGACCCTCCGAAGCAAGCAGCAAAAGACTTCTCACACAGCCGTGAACAGCACAACCGCACGCAGCAGCAGCAGCAGCAGCAGCAGCAGCAGCAGCAGCAGCAGCAGCACACAGGGAACCATGTCGTTCTTCACGACCGGTTTCGCGACCATGGTGAACAACCGGCGCCTGAAGGCGGCGAAAAAGGCAGACACGAAAAGTGAGTTGTCGGCCTGTAGTGCATGCATGATGATGCATGTCATCGCGGAGGCTGTTGCCTCTCTGGCGGTTAGCTGTGCTGCTGCGGCCGGCTTCACACACACGTTGAACCAAGCACAGGCCGCTGGTTCTCCCCAACAGCTCAAGCTCATCTTCTTTGTGCCTTCTCCCTTTCCTCTCCCATCATGCCCGCCACAGACGCAGACAAAAGCGTGAACAGCTCTGATAAGGAGGAAAAGAACGACTGTGGCAAGGAGGAAGAGAAAGACGAGGGAAAGTGGGACATGCTCACAGACATTTACGGCCGGGCGTACTGGTGAGA